CACAAAAAGAAGGAATTCCAGGGGCTGCAGTTGTAGTTGAGTGGTAGAGTCCTTGCCTAGCATGTGTGAGGCCCTGGGTTCAATCCTCAGCACCACATAAAAATAAACAAAGTTATTTGATAAAAAAGGGGGTTCCAGAATTAAAACGAGGTTATTCCCTCTCCTGAATCTTGGAAATCAAGTGTTTCTTTTGTTAATCTTCAGATATTTAAGCTAAAAAGAAATCTACATTAAGTTTTTACAGCAAAAGAAAGCACATGCATAAGTGTAAAACTAAATATAAAATCTAGCCAATATATTGGTCTGGGGTTATGGCTCAGCAGTAGAGTGGTCACCTAGCACATGCGAGGCCCTGGGTTCGATCCTCAGCACCACATAAGAATAAATAAATAAAATGAAGGTATTGTGCCCAACTACAACTAAAAAATAATTTTAAAAAAATCTAGCCAATATATATATAAACTGTAAAAACCAGGTACAGTAATCCCAGCAGCTTGGGAGGATGAGGCAGGAGGATCACAAGTTCAAAGCCAGCCTCAGCAACTTAGCAAGGCCCTAAGCAACTCAGGGAGACCTTGTCTCTAAATAAAATATAAAAAATATAAATTTAAAAAATATTTTTAAACGAGATGGGGATGTGATTCAGTAGTTAAGCATGCCTGGGTTCAATCCCCAGTACCAAAAAAAAAAAAAAAAAAGACAAAAGAAAACAAACTATAAGAAAAGATTTCTAAAATCATTAACAATTTAATAATGTATAAAATTTGAAGTGATTCTCTATAAACTAGTTTGGAATTAATGAAAAAAATTATTTATAATATAACTTTCGAACACTTTTAATTCCACATAAACATCTATGTATGAATATTAATTCAAGAAATAGCTGTCAACTTCTCACATTGTGCCAACTCTCATTCTAAACACTGTGGGAACAACAAAAAGATAAATAAATTTGATTTATCTGAAGTGATCCAGTATGTATGTGTGTATTTTAAAAATAGCCTCTGTACTTGCTCTCAAAAGCTGTGTAATCCAGAAAAGTAAGTTACCTTACCCTCTCTCTGTGCTATTTAATAAAGTCTTCATAGGGACCATGATCTTTGATCTTTTATCCTTTGCCTTTTTATGGAATTTTATTTTTTATAATTTTTTAAAATTTGTGTTCAAAGCACATTATAGTGCATTATAATCACACCCTAGTGAACTATGTAATTACACACTTGTAGATGCGTGCAATAGAATAACATAATTCGGTCAGTTTCAATCCCTAGAACCTGCCCTGTGATCTTTGATCTAATCTTAAAGCTGGAGCAGCTGCTCCAGATGGACCATGCAAAAGGTGACACACATCAGTGGGAACAGCAAGTACAAAGACATGAACCTACGGGTGTGTGCAATGAACTTGTGAAAACTTGAGGAGCTTGGGTGACTGAGGAGGTAAAGAGAAAGAGTTGACTTGGGACCACTCCATTCTATTCTAAGAAGTGTGCAGTTAGCTGTGAAGGCAAAGCATGTGATGTGATGTGTGTGACGGAGAACTAACATTCACCACCCAGTTCTGGCACATGGCAGGTTTCCTTTCCCAGCCCCTCCAGAATGAAGCATGGTCATGTGACCCGTTTAACCAATGAAGTGTGAGTGGAAATAGTATACATCCTATCCAGGGAAACTTTCAGGACAGTTTTGATTTGGCACATTCTCTTCCCCTTCTGAGGCAATCATAGAAGATGCTCAGAGTCATGCTGATCACAATGGTGAATTTCCAGGAGGATCCTGAGTGGCTGTAAGCACAGTCCCCACTCTACCCCACCCCTATGCCCTGCAATGAACAGATAGTGTGAACGAATGGAAAAAAAAAACAGACCTGTAACTCTGAGCCTCTGGGTTTGGATGAGTGCTTTTTACTGCCTAAAAAGGAACCTGTGCTTTCTGACACGCTGTGCAATTTTAAATGATAACTCTGACAATAACATATATAGAAGATGGATTTCAGAGAGCCTGCAGCTGCAGCAACTGGCTAGAGGACTACCAAAACCCACAGATGATATTTATGTCAGGCACAGGACCAGAACTGTGAGCTTAGAAAAGCAGCAAAGGAACCCAGAGATATGATGGCAAGAGCTGACCTGAGTCAATCATGAACTTGAGATTGCAAGAGTGCCTGATAGTCTAATTGTTTCAGAGGTGATGAAAAGAGAAAGTTCTTGAAAGAACAGGCTTGACTAACAGGGAGATGAAGTAAGATTAAAGAAGGAGCTACAGGCAGCCTGGAGAAGCTTATCCCATCAAGAGCAGAGGCATATCCCCATGCAACGGAGACTATAAGAAGATAGTGAGCTTTGGAAGAAAACAGATGTGAAAGTGAACAGGGGCTGAGTCATTGAACCTTGCTCATTCATTCATTCAACAACAGTAAAAAACAAAGAAGAACCCTGCCCAATGGGACTTACACTGAAAATACAGAGAAGCAGACATATTTAAACACTGCAGAAAATAGGACATTGTGATTTTTAAAGGGAAAAAAAAATAATTAAAGACAGTGACCAATTCATTTTGTTTGAAATCCTTATCTGATATCAAAGTCAAAAATAGAGATGTCTGTCTCCTTTTTTCAAAAAGAACTGCCACCTTCTCTTCCTTTTTCCTTTTTCTTTTTCACATTTAAGGAGCCAACTGTGAAAAAAAATCAGTTTTCTTGACCTCAAGGTTATTTTTTAAAAATCAAGAATTTTTTTTTTTTTTTTTAACTAGGACAGCAGGTAGCACACCAAATGTTGTAGTAAATTGGGTCATATGTATTGTGGGAGGTGGGATTGATGGTTAAGCGTGGCTTTTAGAAAAGTCACTTCTCAAAGTTTCTTGTGCATATGAATCACAAGGCCTTGGAGAATGCAGGCTGATTCAGCGGTTCTGGGGTGGGACCTGAGAGTCTCCATTCCCAACAGCTCCCTGGGATGCCAAGGCTGCTGGCCCCAGGAATGCCAAAGCATGGTTCTCATCATGTCTGCCTGTTCTTCCTTATGCACCTGAAGAATCAATTGGCAATATGTGATTGTCATGCAAAGATCTGTAACAAAGCGCCTCTGATGGACATTATATTCCTATAATTTCCTGGGTGTTACCATGATTATCCTGACTCCAGCCCAGGGAGGTTAGGTCACAGGACTACCTGTGGGCAGGATTCACAAACCAGGTCTAGTGCGGAGAGCAAGCTCTTCGTGGCTCCCTCCTCACTCTGTTTCCATCACATTTCTTTCCTGCTCTGTTGCTGCAGCAGAAAGGACCATTCTGATGCTGATAAAGCCAAGTCCATCAAAATGATGTGGGTTCAAGAAAAAGCAATGAAAATCCAAATGGAGAAAACTTCTGAGATTCAGCAAATAAAAGAACAATTAACCTCGGGATGGAGATTGTTTTATTTTTGTTTTCCAGGAAGCAATATCAGTTTGTAAAAAGATCATCATATGCCTCTAAGAACTCTTGGACACTGTCACTTCCTCAACAGGGCATCTGCTTTCCTACTTCACTCGGATGACAGAAAATTCCATAAAAACCTTCCCTATCCATCAGGAGAAGCTACTATGCATCACACTGCAACATCTACGGTCTAGACACACAAATTCCACAGTGTTCCAAAATCCCCTAAATCTTAATAAAGAGTTTTCTAACTGTCTGCTTCTTTATTTTACTAACAAGAAGCCTTAATTCAATGCGGCTAAATAAAATATGCAAGTAAAACCGTGGCTCTTAAACTTGCCTGCACGTGGTATCTCTAGGAACACTGATAGCTGAGTTCTCTAGAGGCTGATATAATTGGCTTGGGATCCACTGGGTATCAGAATTTTTAGACATGCCTCAGGATATTCTAATGCATAGCCACAGTTATGAATCCCTGGCACAAAAGACAGAAGACTCTTTTCACTCTATAATAAAACATAAATAAATAGTAGGAAGATGTCTTCATTCACTGTCAGGGTTTTGCCTCTTTATAATGATTATATATGTTTAAAATCCTATTAGACCTTGATTCTAATTGCAAGTAATTGGTTTCCTACAATCAGTGACCAACCAGAGTTCCTACTTGGAGTTTGCTAACCAACCATAGCAGATGTCAGCAACACTGCTTCAAAGCAAAGGATCTTAATCTGGGAATGGAATTCAGATGGTCAGTGAATTTGGATAGGGAAAAAAGTGATATCTTAATTTTCACTAATCTTTCACAAAAGTTCAGCATTCCATTCAGTTACAAGTATAGACAATAGACCACAATAGTATTGGCAGTTCTTGAGGGTTTGCAACCACTAGTATTTTTATATTACATTTCAGTTTGGCCAGTTTTCTCAAAATATCATTTGCAGTATCACTCCAATATTACAGTTGCTTAATAGACCTGCAGTTAGATCTAGCTGTTTAATGCAACAATGATGCATGCCTGTTATTATATCATAACTTTGGTACTATACTTTAATGTTGTATTCCAGAAAAAACTGATTCTGCTTTAATTGTATTTTATGTATTTAACATTATTCTGAGAGGATCTCTAAATTCTTCACCCAATGTGCCAATTTGGTCTGTGGCACAAGAGAGTCCTGACAAGACAGGTGCAACAAATTTGCATCCAAGGCCTCCTCTTCTGCCTAACCCGAATCCACCCGCGACCACAACCAGCAACCCGGCAGCCTCGCAGGAGGGAGACACCCTGGACCAGAGTTGGGTCTTGTTTTCCCCTGCATTTCCGCAGATAAGATTTAGCCTGAAAAGCCAGTTCAACTCAGTGGATGGGCTTTCTCTTTCCCCTCAGCTGCCTCTTGCTCTTGGCATTTTGGAATGCCCCAACTGCCAGGCCGGTAACTCGAGCCTCCAAATTAATCAAAACACACAGCACCCAGTTCAAGCCCTGGCAGACAAGCCTGGGAGCTATAAAAGCTCTCCTCTGGTGACCCCAGGGCCACGACTCCCCAGCCAACAAATCCCCGCCCCTGCCACCCTTGGATGCCTACCTAGACTGCTCCACTTGCTCTCCCAGGCAGGTCCTTGGGCCGCAGATTGCCAGCTTGTGGGCGACTTACCTGGGGGACGCCTCTCAGTCCGCGAGCACCCCTCGGCTCTGCCTAGCCCGAATCCACCCGCGACCCGGCAGCCTCCTCACTAGAGTCTCACGGCCAAGTCTAGCGGCCGCAAGTTGGAGGTGGGCTGGAGAAGGGAAGGCAGCCAGACGCACGGGCGCTGGAGCCGGGAGCTCGCCGGGCCTCCGGAGTGCAGACGCCCGGCACGCCTCCCGCTTAATCTGGGCAGGGCCGGTAGCCACTCCCTCCACCCTGTGCAGCCGCCTCCCCACCGCACATCCCCCCGAATTCCTCACCTCCGACCCACATCGCCTACCCCACCTGGGCCCCAAGACCTTTGAGCATCACTTTCTGAACCCTTATCCTGGATGGGCGCCCACCTGCCCTGCAGTCGCTTAGCCCTTTCTCGCTTCCTGGGCACTATGCCCAGTAGAAGGGACAGTGCCTGGTGAGTTGGGAGGGAGAGGGACGAGGGCGGGACCTGAGCTACTTCTTCCCTCCCTTGGAGCCACCACCAAAGCCTGGATGGGGAGGGACGGACCGCGCGGCTGAGCTCTACAAAACCCGTGCCGGAGGGCTGGCCAAGCGAGCTTCACACCAGGGGCTTCCCAGCCAGCACCGTGCAGCGGACGCGGTCGCCTGAGAGCCTGTGGGCCCCTGGACACGCTGGAACTCCGAGCCGGCGCCCACCATGCGCCCCGGGTCCTTACGGAGGCCGACGGCACTCCTGCTTCGACTCCTGCTGGTGCTCCTGGCGGCCGCGCCCGCGGCGAGCAAGGTGAGTACCTGCTGCGCGCCCCCCACTGCCGCACTGGGATCCTCACCCCGGGTGTACGCGGGTCCCGCCGACCCCACCCGCAGGGGCGCTGTCCGGGAGCGGCTGCCTGGCCACTGGCGCAGCTGGGGCTCCACGCAGGTCCCGACTGGCAGCGCGCAGAGAGGAGCTAGTGGGTATGCCCGGGAACAGGTGGAATGAGAGGCGCTGGAAGACAAGGCGAGGAGGGGGCCTGTCCAGGCCGTTAGGAGACAGGGATGAAGAGGAAAGGCTTCCAGGGGTCAGTAAGTAGATAGATCTATAGAAGGATCCGTCCGTCCGTAGGCAGATAGATAACTGCCGCGGTGATACTTGAGAACACCGGATACAGGGATGCGCAACTTGAGGTCGGTGAAGCACAGCCGGCAGCTGTGGTGGCTGGAAGCGCCCAGGACTGAGGACTGGGAGGAGAAACCTGCGGGGAGTCCCAGCCCGGCTCACCCTAGTTATGACCTCACCCTCACTCTTTCTGGGGCTTAGTGTCCTCCTTGTCAAAACTTGGCCTTCTGTGTTCCATTGACTGTGGGAAAGCAAGTGGCATCACTGAAAAATTAAGAAAACTTGTATCAGGATAAATTAAGCAATGTCATCGATTTAATTTCTGTTAGGAGTTTAAGTGACACTGGGTTCATTTAAATCCACCCATAGTTCTTATTCTTTAGTATTGAAAATAAAGTCTCCTCAAAACTATTATGCCTCCTAGAGTCGGCTGACTTGATTTTAATTTGTGGAAGTGAAATTTAACTTCTCAGATGCTTCATGTCATTTTTACGCTTAAATGTTAATTGGGATGATAACATGGTCTATCAAGTTTTATTCAAAAGATGAGCAGATGTTTTACAGATTCTGTGATTGATAATGGATTGGAAACTAACAATCCCAGTATTCCTTATGTGTTCCAAGAAAAGAGTTTCAGAACCTATGGCCTCATATAATCCCCGTTTTTTTCTATTTAAATTAAATTTTAATTTAAGACATTATAGATGCAGCTAAAACTCTTCTCTCATTTTCCCAGAGGTATCCATTCTACCACTTCCATGTTTCTTTTCAAACAGTTTCTATGCATTTACATACACATATATGAAAAAACAGTATGTTTAGGTTTTTAATGTGGTATCATTCCATACTACATATATGTACATGTACATATAAATGTACATTTTTGCAACTTATAAATCTATGTCATATTAAAGATCTACCTCTTTTTTTTTCACTATGTTGCATAATTTCCCCCAATATGCCAAGTTAATTGAACCATTGCCCTATTGATTTACATTTAGGCTATTTAGTGTTTCACATTCTAAAGGATTTTTGTAATCCAGTTAATCTCTTCATGTACTTGGCTCTAACAGAAATGCATTTTTCATAGATGAGGAATGCCCAGTCTAGGTGGTTAAATACTGCTGGGCATGATGGATATAACTCATGCAAATCAGTGAGGATTATCTAACAGCTTCAACTGGAATAAACACATCTTAGAAGTAAAAAACCTAAGGGAACTGTATGTTGTGGGAGGGCCTGGGAAAGGGTTCCAGAGCAGGGTTTGCACACGTTTCTGAGCTCAGAAGGAAATTCGGGAAGGTAGAGGAATCATACTCCTATAAAGATCAGCCAGTGACCATACAACCTGCAGACAAGCCATTTTAAATTATATTGTTGTATTCACTTATATTTTGCATGTAGAATTTTCTGTTTTGAGTTTGGCCAAATCTTGGCACCTTCTTGCTTTAATTAATATCATAATTCATTAATTAATATTATAATGAGTCTATTTTTTATCATCATTTGCAATAAGTCTTTGTTATAAACTTCAAGGATTATCATTTCCATTGTATCTGCTGAAGTAGATAGAAAATATGCCATTAAAATCATGAAATGGGTCTTTACCTTCTGGAGAAAAGGAATTAACAGTTAACTGATAATTGGGTGACGTGTTCTAGCATGACTTCCTCCACAAACTATCTGATGCTAATGAAGGCAGTTGACCATTTTGGGCCTCAGTTTTCTCACCTGTGAATTTGGGGGGGTTGAAACCCCTATTAGGCCAGCAGGCAGGGTCATAAGAGAAGCACCCAAGTAAGAGGAAACCTTCAGAGCCAACTGGCTGTTGGCATTCCAGAATTCAGGCCCAGTTGTGCCCAATCACTTCAAAAGCGAAGCTGGGAATCTATTTGGTATTAGAAATATCTCAAATTCTAAATATTAGCAACTACTTGTTTAAAAACAAAAAGACCATAATGAGAGCCAAACAATGTATAAGTGAGAGCTAAATTTAGCCTCTGGGCATCATATTGATCATCTTTGTGCTACATTAGGTAAGACTACATTTTTCTCTAAATTTCTGCAGTTTTACTTTAGCATTGAACAAAACAGGAAGACCACAGTGATGTTGACCCTACAAGCGAGTTTAGACAGGGTGGAACTGTCCTCCCACACAGAGTGAATGCCTCTGCCCTTGGCTCAGCATCAGCTCCAGGCAGGCTGTTCGGCACACTCTCTGGCACACTCTCAGGTTGTACAGCCGGCCCACTCAGCTCACCCACTGGAGACTGGGAGGTGCTCTGCTGTTACCCCAGGTCATCTGTGTGGCAGAGCAGGTACAGGGAGCCCTTCTTTCTCTCTGGATAGGTGAGGTTCACCAACTGAGACATCAAGGGTTATCCTTCCATACTGGGTCTTGAATTCCAGGCAGGGCTGGACTGTGAAGGGCAAAGAGCAAGAACTGTCAAAAGGCTCTAGAAAGGATGCTGTCTCACCTGATGGCATTTTAAATTTAGAAACTTCAGCAGGACTCGAAATCATTTCAAACAAGCGAAAAGTAATGCATCCTGCACCAATTTATCTGAGATTCAGCAAATGTTAATAAACTTTGGCTTCTTGGCTTAGATTTCTCTCTTCCCATACACACTTTTGTACTTACGCTTTCTGAGTGTGTGTGCGTGTATGCGTGTGTGTGCAGTCCCAGTAAAAAGTAAATATTACTGTTTTGTGGTCTTTCAAATGTAATAAATAGCTTCACATTATATATATGTATGTCTATGGAACTTGTCTTTTATCACTCATTATTATGTCCCTGGGTCCATGTTGACACATATTGATGTGATTTATTTGTGAAAATATCTGTTACATAGTATCCAGTAATATAAATAAAGCCATTATTTTTCCCCCTAAACAGGGTTAAGTTTGCCTTCAAATTTTCATTTCACAAAGTTGCAATGCATGTGTTTGTATATATACCATAAAGACAACTAGAATTTGAATTCCTAGGTGGTTCATAGAGAAAGCATGTTTTAAATTTATTAGGTACTGCCACATTGATCTCCAGAAGAGTTGTATCATCAGTGAACCAGAGTACACATTTCCCTACATCCTTGGTAAAACTTGGTGTGTCTGAATGTTGATGAGTGTAAACTGAGGGCTTGTTTGACTAGTGAGTTTGTGAACCTTTTTAGCCCTTAATTGGCCATACATAGTTCCCTTTGCGTGAATTGCAAATACCACTTTCTGCTTATTTATCAACTGTGAGCTTTACCTTTTTGTTGCTAATTGATTGGAAGTTATTTACATATTTGGGCACAAAGTATTTGTCATTTATAGAAATCATTTTATTCTGATCTTTGGTTTATCTTTTTATTTAGTTTTTGGTGCCTTGATGTGTAAATGCTTTTTTTTTTTTTTTTTTTTGATGTGTAAATGCTTTTTTTCCCCTTAATCTCAAACTTATTCATCCTTCTTCAACGTTTTGTCCTTTGTACCTTGTTGAAGAAATTCCTTTCTGGGATCCTGATGATGTTCTCCTGTGTTTTTTTGTTTGTTTAAAAAGTTTTATAGTTTAAATTCTTTTTAATCCTGGAATTATTTTCTACGTATGGAGTATGACTATATCTTTTTTGATATAGATAACAAATTATCCCCCATTCTTTACCAGCTACAGCATTCTTTCCTTCAGCTTTGCAGTGTTACATCTGCAGACATGCATATAGTGAGCATCAATTCACATGGAGTTAATTAGTAAGCTCTCTGTTCTCTCCCCCCCTGCCCCTTTTTGCCTCTACATCAATACCAGATCAGTTTTGATTACTAACTTTATGCTAAACCTATACCTGATAGGACAGAGCGGTTATCTCTGCTATTATTATTTTCTTTAAAATTGTTTGGTTTTCTTTTCTCTGTGCTCCATTGACTGAAGTTTGACAAGCATCTGCTTGTCAAAGTTTCATTTCCTTGTGCCCTGTAGCTGAAGACCTTAATTTTCATTGCTATATTGTATGTATAAAAACAATGTATTTTTCCATTCTGCAATTGATTAATGAATTCAAGGCAGAGGCCATTACAAGTAATGTTGCCAAATGTATCTTTATTTAAATGGGTTAATTTTCTTACAATGTTTTAGTTTTTGTTTCTTTAGTTTCTAATTCTTTTATATTCTTGGTGTTATTGTAAATGACATATTTAAAAATTTTAACAGCCTATTAAAGAAATAATAAAACATGGTTTAATTTATTCAAAACATATATACACATATGTGTGTGTGTGTGCACACTGGAGATTGAACCCAGGGACAGTTTATCACTGAGCTACATCCCCAGCCCTTTTTATATTTTATTTTGAGACAGGTTCTCACTAAGTTGCCGATGACCTTACTAAATTGCATAGACTGGCTTTAAACTTGCACTCTTCCTACCTCAACCTCCCAAGGTATTACAGACATGTACCACTGTTCTTGGTTTGAATTTTATATTTTGATTTTGATCCAGCAACTTTGAAAAATTCAACTGCACTTAAGGCTAAAAAATTTCTGCCTTAGCTGCATCACACAAATTTGAATAAGTAGTATTTTAATATCATTAAGTTCTAATAGTTTTTCTAATATTTGTTCTGTGGGTTATTTAGGTGTTTATTCCTTAATTTCCAAACACATGAAGATTTTCTAGTTATCCTTTTGTGACTGAGTTGTGGTAACG